ATATTTTTTGTGATGTGGAGCAAGGGACAGCAGAGCGTGATGTATCAGTTATCCAGTTATTTCTGATCTGCAGCTTCTTTGATAGCAGACTCATCCTGCTGAGCAGTTTGTTGTCCTGCCAGAGACATTACCATAAAGAAGAGAAGAAAAGCTTGGCTAAAAGTGGCCTGTTCAGTGCAAGGAGAAGAGGACGCTTGCCGGTACCCGGAGCACTCCTTGTACAGCTGCCCTCTGAACTTGGGTGATGGTCTGGACAGTCCAAGAGCGAGGCATACTGATTTTCATCCTCATATCCGACAGCTTCTGTGTAGCACTGGGCATCTCCTCTCTGGAAGTAAATGTTGGCAACAGGTCCTGTTTGCTAATCTACAATGTGGAGTGGGGCCGGGTTCAAATGACAAAATAAGCACATTTAAAATACCAACCTAGAGCATCCCTATGCTTAGCAGGGAAATGAACAGAGTCTATGACCTACACAGGAAGAAAACAATTAGATTTAATTTGTGGACCCAAGACAGTTGTTTTATTCTTGTTGTTGGGTGTTTTTTGCTTTGTTTTGTATTTTAGGGAAGGGTCTACAGGGTGTTCAGGGTCTCACTGCTAGATCAGACTCATAGTGATCTGCCTGTTTATAGCTTCCCAAGAGCTGGGATTACAGGTGTGCGCCACCACGCCCAGTCTCAGTTGCCATCTCAATGCACCCTGGGGGTGGGGCTGGCACAGCAGACCCAGGGATTGAACCCCCAGCCCCTGTGCCTGCTTGCAGGAGCTTTAATCCGCTGAACTATTTGACCGGCCCTCAAGACAGTTATTTTTTAAAGTGTGCCGGGGTCTTGTAAAAGTTCCTAGCATGTGGAGTCATTTCTGCATTCCTGGCACCCTTGGGAAGGCCCAACTCTGACCTACCCTTCAAAGTGTTAGCTCCCTTTCAGAACTTCCAGATGAGGCTGGGCATGGTGGCTCATACCTATAATCCCAGCTCTTGGGAGGCAGAGGCAGGAGGATCATTCTGAGTTCAAGGCCAGCTTGAGCTACAAAGTGAATTCACACAAGCTGCAGAAGTTAAAAGGGTTTGCAGAAATTTGTCTCAGTTGATAAAATTGCCCAAACAGTGTTTCATAGTAAAAAGAATACGGAATGAAATTATAGATGGAAATGAGAATAGTGATACTAACATCCTACAGCAACAAAGGCTAGTCAGGAGACAGGAAAAAGTTATGCTTTCCTGGATCCAGACAGAGAGAAGGGACATTTCAAGGAAAAATGTCCAAAGTTGCTAGAAAAGAAAAAAAAAAAAAAGTTCGTTATAGAAGTTTGAGCTTGAGAAGGTCATGTGTCTTCCCTCTCAGCCTGAGGGAACCCATGTTAACTGCCAGTATAAGGAGAAAGCCTGTGAAGCTTTCAGTAGATGCTTATGCAGATTTGTCAGTAGTTAGCCAGTGGCCCACTTGCAAACTGGAAAATACTCAGTGTTTTCTCAAAGCCTGGCAATTCATGTGCACCAATAATAATAGGAAAGGCCAGTTTGTTTGAAACAATACACAATGGCCATGGAAGATAAAAAGGATTAAACCTCACGTTTAAGAGATATCTGCTAATGAACCTATAAAAAGTTCTAACTCATCTTTTTCATAATTATCCTGTTGTGATTATTTGACCCATGTGTGTTTCTTTGATCTTCTCCAGATTCAAAGCTATATGTCCACCCAAGAGAAAAATGCCAATCATCTATTGAGGGTCTTTAGATAGAACCCCTGACGAATATATCTGACTGCCAGTCAACAACTACAACTCCTTTCAGCCTGAAGATGCTGGAGAGGTCATCATCCATGCTTCCCTCACAGCAGTTAGGGTTACTTCTTCAGAGGGGGGACTGTTTCAGGCAGCTGAGTTAGATAAAAATATAGTCAGTCAGACAGGGCCAGGCCCTCGAAAGAGGTAGCACAAAAGACAAGAATCCTTACAACTGTGGGGGCGATGGATGCTCCTGCTGTGAGCCAGACCTAAAGAGCAAACAAGGGGCCGGCGAGATGGCTCAGTAGAATAAGCACTTCCCTGGCAAGCACAAGGGCCTGAGTTCAATCCCTGGTTCCACCAAAAAAAAAAAAAGCGCAAACAAATGCTGAAGATTAGCATCCCAGATTGATCATTACCCTGAGAAAGCCAGAAAGAATACTTGATGGCTATCAGATAAGGTCCTGTTTTACCTTCATGCCCCCTTGCTGTGTGACTCCCTTCCCCATTTGCTCCTGGGCCCAATCTATTTTACCTGAGCAATGGTGCTTGTAATCCACTCCCATTGGTTGGCCATAGCTTTGTCCCACCCCACATCCACCTAAGCGAGTTCCCCCTTTCTCCACCTTAGCCCCACATGGTTTTACACTATAAAAAGTCCCTGGAAGAGACAGCTTCCCGGGAAACAACCCGCTCGGGTCCCCCTTCCTATCCCTAAAAAAAATGTGAATTCAAGGCCAACTGAACTGCATAGTGAGATCCTGTCTCTTAAAAGACAAAAACAAAAAACTTGAGATGAAATGAAAATCATGGTAACAGTCATTCCATCTGAGAAATGAATGTTATGGTTGAACTTTGAGAATGGATGTACAGAAAAGAATGTAGGACTGCACACAAAGCAGTCAAGGTCTAAGACTACCATTAAATGGCTGCATAAGCATAGAGATGGCACCTGGTATCCTTTTATAGGGTGGTGACATGGTTCTGCAAACTGTGAGCATGTTTTGTAAACTGTATGGTGGGGAAAATAGAAGATACTTTCAGCTCAGCAGATTAAAGCACCTGCAAGCAGGTGCAGGGGCTGGGGATTCAATCCCTGGGCCTGCCATGCCGGCCATGCCCCCCTGGGTTGTGCTGAAACAGCAATTAAGACTAGGCGTGATGGCACATGCCTATAATCCCAGCTCTTAGGAGACTGTAAACAGGCGGGTCACTAGGAGTCCAATCTAGTAATTTAGTGGTGAGACCCTGAACACCCTGTAGACCCTTCCCTAAAATACATAAAAAAAAAAAAAGATACTTTCATTTAGCAACCAACAGAATGGGCCAGATCTCTAAGTCAGCCGTTTCCTTTCCTCTTGCAAGCTGGGAAGAACAGAGTTAACATGCAGCTGTAAATACCACCGCCTTGGGCATGAAAAGGATTGAATCATCTCTAAGTGAACCCTACAATATGTACAAAAAACAAGCAGAAAGTCTTGTGACAGGTAAATAAGTCCTTTCATGGCCAGGAATGTCCAGAACAGAGCATTTGTGGTTTTGTTTTTATACCTGATCAGGGCTTAGCAGCCCTGTGGTCTCTTTGGTGGTGGTGACCCCCACGTATGTAGCAACCAGAGGTAGAGGAAAAGAAGTGCGAAACATTTATAGAACAGCATCTTGAAGAGAAAAAGAGGTCCTCATAATTACACTCCTTGGACAGTGACAGCAAACCTTTTAGTGTTTTCAGTGATTATGGCCTGCTGCAGTGGTCATAGGTCACCACCACTGGTGAAGCACCACCAGGGCCCTCCCCACCACATTCTTCAGGCCTCTCCCCTCCTTATGGCATAGGTCAGCAGCTCTTATTACTAAGAGCACAATATGCCTCACATAAGGAGTTGGCATTTCTGTGTCCTTGGATACTTAGTGGACGCTGCACAGGTGAAGAATTAAAGCAGGAAGAACTTGAGCTATTCAGAGCAAATTATTAGGGCTTGAACCAGTTTACACAATAGCATTTTAATTGACAGTATACAATTTTCCAAAATATATTTTTGTAAGAAAATGCAATTAACTATAGTCTTTACAAACAAGTTTCTCAGTAAATTCCAGTGTACTTCAGACCCCTGTCCACTAAGACACATGCTCCCCCAGTCCTCTGGGCAAACTATCATCCACTAACACCCCACCATCACCACTATTAGATAGTAATCCCTTCCTTGCAATCTGGTGTTGAGTAGTCAGCAGACCTGAAGGAATCTACTAATAACAGTGAAAACAGGCTACAGTTTTGTTCTTGACTTCTGCCTTCTCTTATCTTGTTCCCTTTGATCCTTAGTCTGCTAGAAGTTCAAGAAGCAAAAACTTGATCAAAGCTGGCAGAAAAGATACACTAATTTACATCTTAGACCAAGTGATTCAGAGGAAGAGTGAAAGACCAGTGGAATTCATACTTCTGTCTTGGAGCCTCCCTGGCCGTGCTGGTGTAACTCTTGGGAAAGAATGGCATCTTCTGTGTTATCCTGGTACCTGTGAGCGGTGGAACTTAAGTTACCTAATTCTTGGATTCTTTGGAGACCCAAAGCATGGGACAGCTGGAGAGCCCAGGTTTTAATCTTGTTTGTCACTGACGATGATCTTAGCCAAATCACTTTACCTTTGTGGGCTTCCTTTCCTGTAGATTAGACCAGATCTCTACATTTTCTCACTTTCCAACCAGTGCTCACAAACCCTGGCCTTCCCTGGTATGGGACTGGAACTTGACTGAGGAGGAGCAAGGATAATTGGAAAATAAAATGCTTCATCTGCAGGCCAAATAACCTGTCACCAGCCTGTCTTCTTGTATTTCATTTTTTTAAACAAAACAAAAAACTTTCTAGTAAGATATTTACATTCTTGTTGGGGGGGGAACCTCAATGTTTTTTTCTAAGTATATTCACTTAAAGCAGTGCAAAATAGATTAACATGTGGCTGTTGTATTTACATTGTCAAAACATGTATACCAGTTTGAATTTGTTCTTCAAAGTTTCTCCAGTATATTGTCAAAGAAAAAATAAGCTAAATCTCAAAAAGTAGTTTAAATAAACCTGCTCATTTTCTTTGTGAAGAAAGGGTAAATCTGGTGTGTCTAGATGAATCCCTGTTGTCCTTAGATGCATGCTCCTTCACATGTCCTTAAGCACAGTGGCTTCTCTCCCCACTCACATGACAGCTCAAACTGGGTTTCATCCAATCGAAGTCATCAGACCCATGGTTTTTGTAGCTTTGGGATCATCAGACCCATGGTTTTTGTAGCTTTGGGATCATCAGATTCACAGTTTCTACAGCTTGGGGAAAGCAAAGAAATTGCCACTAAAGAACTCTTCTAAAGAAGTTAGAACTCTTTGATATGACTGGTTTAAAGTCTTGTTGAGCTGAGGTCCTGGTATTCTTCTTTACTCTTCTTGACCCCATGATCAGAATTATAGCATAGAGAACCCAATAAAGATGCAGGAAGGAGATGGCTTCCAGGTGCTGCCAGAGCGGCCTACTGACACAGGTGTTTCAGCAGCAGCAGCGAACCAACAGCAACCTATCATATTCTGACACTGCACTAAAGGCAGCAAAACTTGAAGGCAGAGAAAGACGGGAACTACTGGGTCACCTCAAAGCCTCCCGGCTTCTTCCTGGGCAGAGCCATGGAGATTCCTCCTAACCATCACTTCTCCCTGGTGCCCACAGTTATCACCTGTACCTGAGAGCCCTTGGGGTTGCAGTGTCTGATCCTTTTGTAGAAGTGATATTTGCTATCACTGTCAAATGCCCTAGCTGGTCAATGTGACCCAGAATCCACAAAGGAGCAATAACCTAGCCTTTTACAGAGATACCAGGACAAAACCACAGGGGAGATAGAACCCAATGGTGGGCATAAAGGAAACAAGCAGACCTCTTTCCAGAATAAAAGTATTTCTTATATTTCCCCTTAACCTGGCATTGTTCTCTATCCTGCTCCAAAAGCCCAAATGCTAGAGAACATGGCAGGTATTTGTCAAATGAACATTAACTCTTGAGATCTCAGTGGGGTCCCTTGATTTTCTGGCTGTCTTTTTCCCTTACGATATGAAAAAGCTACAGACTAAAGATGGAATCAGGCAGCCAAGGAAGGCCAAAGGTCTTCCCCCTAGGTTCCCTACCTTTTCTTAAATAAGTTGCTCCAAAGCAGACAATTGGTTCCAGGAATTTATGCCCAGGAACAGTACAGACCATGGCCCAAAGTTCACAATTGCATGCATGATCCCACCTTCCCAGAAGTCGAGGTGAACCTTACTATGTCTAGCCCTTGGGAGCCCTCTGTAGGTAGCTAACTTCTGAGCCTATAAAAGCCATGGTGGGGAACAGACATGGCTTTGTGTTTCCCTGAGATGCCACCAGAAACAGGAGAACTGGCAAGGTCCCACCAGGAATACAGAGAAGAACCAGCAAGGCCTAGCTCCATGCAGGACAGTAGGAAACTAGGGACTTTAAAATTCACTGCATGTTCTGGGCTTTTCTCTGTGGCACAGGAGATTCTCTATCAATCAGACTGAAAGCCTTCAGTAGTTTGAGCTCTGGCATTTGGCAGTGGAGGGCTAGATTAAAAAACAACAAAACCAAATACAACAGAACTCTTAGCAAATTGAAAATGTCTCTGAGTTTCCTAAGAAACAGCAACATCTGTCTTCTGGTGGTTTCAACTGATTGTCCAATGAAACATATCTCTGCCCTGGAACTACTCTCAACACCTGGGCCACACAGATCCATCCCATCGGTGAGCAGTGTACAAAGAAACATGTCAGGTACTACTGAAAATGTCTGTCCCTTGGGGGAACAGGTCAAAGATCTTGGGAGGGGGGCATCTTCAAGGAGAGGCTCTGGGGCAAGGGCCAGTGTGAGTATGGAGCCCAAATCAGCTGCCGTGGGGAAGCCTTCCTGGGATGGGATGCGCCCCTTTCTCTTCACCCAACTACCAATCCCTTCTACAGATCTCATTCACTCTGAGGGAAGAGGAAGTCCTGACCTCATTAAGCAAAATCTGAATCCAGAACAAGGGGTTCAAGATCATGAATGACCTCTGTTATTCCCAGGGGCACTGGGTCAGAGAGGGACTGAAAACTGAGTGAAAGAGTTTATAAAAGGAAAGAGGAGGTAAATGCTGGCAGGCAGGATTGAGTAGGAGATGGAAGCCCGGGACTTGTCCTTTTGCAGGGTCAGATCCCCTGGGACAGGGTGCAGCTCTGCTTTCCAGCCCCCCACCCCCACTGTAGTGTCACCCTCTGCCCAGCCAGGGAAGCTCTGAAGAGAGGGTACAAAGGAACACAGCAGTGTGACATGGTCCAAATGAGCACTGGAGTGAAGCAGGGAATCTGTCACCAAGTAGCTGTGTGACCTTGTGCAGCCCATTGCCTTCCTTAGGCCTCAGTCATGTCACCTGCAAAATGACGGTGTCTACTGGAGGATCTCTAACATCACTTCCATAGCCCTTCATCTCCTGTCTGCTCGTCCTTCTGCTCACCAGCAGCTCTGAGCTCAGGCACTAGTGGGTTACTTTACAAGAATAATCTAGACAGAATGTGATTTGTTCATCTTGAAAGGGGAAAAATTAAGGCCCTGAGGGAGTTGAGGCAGTAACCCTCAGAGTCCACTCCCTCCCCAGTCTTTCCCTCCTTGAATGAGGAGGCATTTTCTTCCCCAGCCCAAATGGCACTTCGGGTGGTCAGTCTGCAGCTCTGTGGCATGGATGGAGGCAGCCAATAGACCGGATTAGAGGTGTGTGTCTTCCTCCTCATCTAGGTCATCCTTGGACAGGTTGTCCAGAGGGACGATCCAGCTGTCCCCAAGCTCTCCATTAAGGTTGACCACCTTCTTCTCCTGCATCTCAGAAGAGGTCTCCATCACTTCCAGGGTTGGGTTGTCATGGTAACCATTTTCCACTGTCTGCAGCTCCTCAGTGAGTCGTTGCTAGATTGAGGAAAGTGATCAAGTAAAAAAAAGGCAATTTTAGAGGATTATGAGCCTTAAATATAACAAAATATAACACAAAATACAGTCCTAATATACAATATGTAGCTCCCTTTTCAACCCAGGGGCCCCAATTTATCTCCATTAAGCACTTGCCATTCTGATACAGGAGTGGCTGCTCCTGGAAGCCACTGGCTACCAGCCTGCCTACCTCACACAATGACTTGCCCTCTCATCCTAAAATTCCCAACTGGTTCTTGCATTTAGTCAGAAGACAAATGTGTGCCATCTGTGAAGATGGACCTTAGTTCTCACAGGTCCTCTCAGCCCTTTCTTTTCTCCCCCATTTGTTTCCCACAGCCTTTACAGGCTCCTACTTCACTCCATAGTATGGAAATGGCTAAGACCTATGAGAAAATGGCGTCCCTCAGCTTGGGTCCCTGAGGACCTCTCCAAGTCTGGGCAAGGTAGGAATGGCGGTGCCTGTGGCCGTTCCTGCTGCAGGCAGCACCCATCGGACAGTGAGTGGAGCACGCTCTGAGGCTCAGCCTTTGCTTGTATGTTAGGATCACCTGGGGGCTTTTAACACATACACTGATCCAGAGATCGGGTTCCCGTTGGAGCGCGAGGAAGCTAGGCATGGAAATGTTCTTACGGCTCCTGCTAGTGTGCAGCCAGGGTTGAGAACCAGGGATCGGGGTGGCACTGTCAAGATGGGAGTTCTAGTAAGGTAGGCGAAAGGTTTCAGTTAGACAGGCACACACAGGGCCATCTGTATCCAGGGCTTGCAGGAAAGCTCTGCAAGGTGGCTTGTACAAGCAAGCCCCTCAGAGATGTATGGCAGACAAGGACACACAGAGAATAAAGGCAGAGCCAGGCCTGAAGCCCTGTCCTTCTGCTCCAGAAGTCCTGTTCTTCCCTCTAGAAATGCATGCTCTTGATAACCCAGGCAGCAAGAGGCTGCTAAAAAGTGTTGGTGACCTGGATCAAAAATGTCCCCCAGATATTCATGTGTTCACAGGCAGGGCTCCTGGAAGGTGACCGGATTGGGAGGGCACTGATGGAATCAGTGTGGTAACCCACTGTGAGCGTGTAGCTGAACGGGCTGGGCTTGGCTGCAGGAAGGGCGTTGTGGCTCACCTCCACAGGCTGCCCCAGCAGCTCCTCCTTGCTATCTGGCTGCCATGCACCGAGGAGCTTTGCTCCACTGCGCCCTTCTACTGTGCTGTCTCTGCCTTGGAGCCAGCTGACCATGGACTAAACCCTCTGAAACCTGAGCCAAACGACTAAACCTCTTCTCCTTTAAGTTGTGGATGCCAGGTATTTTTGTCCTAGCAGTAGAAAAGTGACAGGCTGGTTCTGCCTGCCAAAAAGGCCCCAGTCCACTCACCCACTTTCCCCTGTCACTATGGAGTGACAGAATGACTGCTGCCCCGGCTGGAGCAGGAGGACCCACCTGATCCTTCCTCTGAGAGAAGCGCTGGTGGCAACAGCCGTAGAGGGCTGCAACGAGCAGCAGGAAGGACGCCATGCAGACAATGGTGATGATCAGGGGCATGCTGTACCGGTCGTCGAGTGTCTCTGATGGATGGTCATCCCCCAGCCTCATGTCACTGACTCCCAGCTGGCCAGAAAGGACAAGTGAGATGGTGAAAATGCAGGCCAGTCTCCACCCCACAAGCTCAGTTGCCACCACCCGACTCCTGGTAACCCAAGGACTCTTCCACATGCAGGGGGGACAATAGGCTCCCAGCAGAGGCTCCTCACCTGCCCCTCCCAGCACACAGTGGGGCCCATTTACCTCTTTTAGTTCATCCCATTGGTCCTTCAGTGATTTATACACATCCGTGGGAAGAAGGTTTGCTGTGGGAAAGATGGGGAGCTGCACCTTGGGAGCCCGGCTCCAAGTGACATGAGGTTGGAGGTGAGCCCCAGGAGGAGGGTATAGCATACAATTGACCACCCTGGGGGCCAGGGAGATGGCTCAGTGGAATAAGCGCTTCCCTGGCAAGCGCAAGGGCCTGAGTTCAATCCCTGGTTCCGACAAAAACAAACAAACAATTGCCACCTCTTGGGCAGCTCTGGGAAAGCACGTGGGTTGACCTGCATAGGGACTGGGGAGGGCGTGGCATCACCCAACCCATCCTCCAATGAAATGGCAGGCTCTTGCCAACCCCTTCCCACCCATATAAGCGTGGGCCTCCTGCCCCAGACTCACTATGAATGCTGATGTGTTTGACAGCCACAGCGTGGCTATCGGGAACAGGTCCTAGCAGTACAGTGCAATTATCTTGGCCAGGGTTGAAGTTGTCTTTGGCTGTTTGGCACAGCAATGTGACCAGCTTCTCATTCAGGAGGCTCTTGTTCTATTGTGAAGAGAACACAGATGATTCCTGAGGTGCGGTGAGAGCGGACCAGATGCAGGGAGCTTCCTGGGTCACTTCCCCTCTCCACACATGGCTCGTGCCATGCCCCGCCCTGCCAGGAGTCCAGCTCTGTCCTGAGCCAAGCCCCAGGCTCCTCAGCTTTGATCTTGACTCTGGTGCACAGCGCCTTCCCTCCAGTGCCACCTTCCCCCTCCAAGCTTTGTGCAGGTCAGGAATTGGTGTCCTGTACTGATTCAGCATGGCACTGCACCTCACCAGGGAGTGGGCGTGGGAGATAGGGGGATCTGGTGCTCTCTCAAGCTGCACAGTGCAGAGGCCTCAGGAGTGGGGGACCACAGCTCCCAGCAAGGTGGCCCTGCATCCCTCCCTGGGCTAGGACACTGAGGCCACAATCAGACTGGTGGGGAAGGCAAAGTGTGACTGCAAAGAGCAAAATAGGGACCCTGAAGATGAATAAGAATCCTTTATATACACAGCACAATGAAAACAGGTGGTCGAGGCTCAATTGCTTTAAAAAAAAAAAAAAAAAATATATATATATATATATATATATATACAGTAAAAGATACATTGTCATTAATCTTACCCCTCCCGCCTTCCTTGGAACACCCTCATCCCACCCTTCTTGCCACTTTCTGAAGCAGTTCCAGAAATCTTGGATCTTTTGTTGGTTGCCTTGCTAACGGCTGCCTCAGTGACCTCTACTGACTCAAAATGTTCGCTTTTCATGGTCATTTTGACTTTGAGAAGTGCCAGAGGTTACATGGTGCCAGAGCCGCCAAATAAAGCAGAAGCGCACACTGCTACATTTTGATGAGCCTGACTTTTCACTGGTGCCCATTAGCAGAATTCACACTATTTCTGACCACATTTAGTAAACAGACTCATGAAAAGACTTCCTAGGGGCTGGTGAGATGGCTCAGTGGTCTAAAGCACCTACTTGGAACAAGCTAAGCTAAGCAAAGCACAGAGACCGCGGTTCAATCCCCCAGTACCACATGCCAGCCGGCCCCGCCCCCTGGTGGGCTGAGCTGGCCACACACACACACACAATAAATGAATAAACTAATAAATTCTTTAAAAAAAAAAAAAAAAGAAAGAAAGAAAGAAAGGAGTTCCTGCACTGCATCACAAAGGGGCAAGAACAGGCAATGAGTGTGTTGAAAGCACACAGGGGTACTCTGAGGAGAGTAATGACAAAATTGTTTTCTTTTTTTTTTTGCGGAACCAGGAATTGAACTCAGGCCCTTGCGCTTGCCAGGGAAGTGCTTATTCCACTGAGCCATCTCCCCCGCCCCAAATTGTTTTCTAATAATGCAGAAAAAGTAAACATCCACTGAATATTGTTCACCCCTTCTATGTGTAAACAGGCCAAACATTGTGACCCACGGGGCTCCACCTACGACTTCCTCAGGCTCTGGGACAGTCTATCCTGACCACAGGAGAAACCCAGCTCTTGCTATCTTTCTTTCAAGAAAGGGGGCGGGACAAGATAGCTCAGCGAACTAAAGCGCCTGTTTAGGCAAGTGCAGGGACCATGTTTTTATCCCTGCCACCACATGCCGCACCAGACCCGTCTCTGAGCACGCTGAACCATCGACCTGCACACCCGTAATCCCCAGAGCTGGGAGGCTAAAAACAGGAGATCACTACGAGTCCAAGCTCTGTAGTGAAACCCTGTAACAACAAATACATTTAAAAAAACAAACAAACAAACAAACAAAAAAAAAAAAACACTTCTCTCAAACAATACACACCTGGGCAAATGTAGCCAAAAGATTATCCCCCAAACCTGACTCATGGAGGACACTGCTCTCTTTTAAAACTCTTTTAGGTAGGTGTATATTTCTGGAAGTTTCACTTGAGAAATAACAACAGAATGGAAATGCCCAAGAGAAAACAAAGACAGAAATACAGGCATTAAAGCATTGTGAGTCAGAGAAACCAAATTGGTACTGTAACTCCTGGGAGTGGTTGTAAAACTATGCACTGGCCAGGAGAGGGCAGCAGCGAGCCAGAGCCCGCCAGCACTCAACACAGCTCAGGGGCTTTTCAGAAAGAGCTGCGCATCCTGGCATCCCACATCCAGGGATGTTGGGGCAGGACACTGCAGGCGCTGCTCCCTACAGCCTCTCTCATACAAAACCTACACTCACACGGCCCACCCACAGAGGAGAAACCACAGGGGGTGGCTCCCTCCTGTTAACTAGGGAGTCTGTTATCTCCTGTCCAGCCCACAGCTCCTTGGGTCACATTCATTTTCTTAAAAACAAAACTCTCAGACACAGTGAAAGCTGCAGAGCCCAGTCCTGGCTCTAGCCCTGTGGGGTCCCGCTGGTGTGAACTGACTTAGAGGTCTGACCCTGGCTCATTGCTCTGTGAGGTGGGCCAGGGCCAATTCCCACGCAAATCCACAGCTCAGCTGCCTTCACCAGGGCCCCTCCAAGGGGGGGGGGGACCCACACAGGGCTCTCGTGCACACTGTCCCATGACTCACACAGTGGCTGCCTCCCAGGTTGGCCTCTGAGTTGGTTCTCTCACTTGTCCAGTTCAAGATGAGCAGCTTGTCCATCGGCTCCTGGAGAGACTCGCAACGTACCTGGAAGAAGCCACCGTATGGAGGCTCAGGCAAGCTGAGGGTCCTGGACTCTCCCCGGGGTGGGTGATAGAAAGGAAGAATTTGTGGCAAGCTGGGGCTGCTACAGACCAGATACGTCCTTGGTGACCCGGCTGTCTTAGCAGCTTTTGGGGGAGAGAGGGGGACAGGCAGAGTGACAGACAAATGGACAAAATCTCTTCATAGCCTAGGAGGAAACCTGAGGGCCGAGCACTGAAACACTTTTCTTTACATCTGGCCTCTTTTGTTCATCCTATGCATCACGGAATTACCGTCTTATTCCCAAAACTCCAGAGTTCAGCAGGTATGCTGGGGCCTGGGGAAGCCAAAACAGTGCTGAAGCCTGGGGGTCCCTTCACACTGGTTGTGGTCACAGTTCCCGCTGTGGAGTCCACACGCTGTGCTGTCCCAGTGGAAGGGTACAGAGGGCTGGGAGGCGCCGGGCTTCTTGGCACGGGGCTGCCCACCACCTGGCTGGTGGGCTGCATGCTGGAGGTCTGCTGAGTTCTGATGGACACATCCACTGGTACTGTGATGGGGGAAGCAGAGAGAAGGGAGTCACACCCTGCAAAGGTCTCTGCTGGCTTCAGGACTCATGCAAGCTGGGGCCACTAAGCAGGCCGTGAGGATGAAGAGACAGAAGTGACAGTGGAAGGCCCAGTGCTATTTTGCAAGACAGGTCAGACTGGACCCCCAGCTGGACCAAGAAGTCACAACAGTGGTATCCCTGGCCACAGCTAGCACTCGTCAAGCACTATGACATGCGGTGTCAAGGGAATTTTCCTAGAGGAAGGGACCCTCCTTATCCCCACAAGGAGACTGAAGCTTGGAGTGACTTTGGGGTTTGCCTGAGGTCATATGCCAGGGGTGCTGGAGGGGGATGTGCATAGACCTGTCCACCTCAGAGACCCACGTTCCCCACAGGGCCTGACTGCTGTCTCCCACCATGACCGGCTGTGAACTCTTCCAGAAGCTGCAGAGCCACCGAGCTGCTAGAAATGCAGTCTCAGCCTCACCCCCGAAGTTCTGCTTCAGCAGATCTTGGGGTGGAGCAGGATTTTGAGGCTCACAATCCATCAGTAGAATTTGAATTGAACTTACCAGACTAAGGCCAGCACTTTATTTAGTTTATGTATTTTGCAACAGAGTCTCACTACGCAGCTCAGACTCATAGTGATCCTCTTATTTTTAGCCTCCCCAGTGCTGGGGTTACAGGTGTGGGCCACCATGCCTGGTCTTGGTGGCTGACTCAGCGTGCCTGGGGGTAGGACTGGTGCTGCATGTAGTGTTTGACCCAGGTTTGATCCCTGCACAGGTCCCTGCACTTGCCGAAGAAGGTTCTTAGTCTGCTGAGCTATCTCACTGACATGAAACCAGCACTTCAAAAGGAAATAGAACAACAACAACAAAAAAATACCTGGATGTATAACATAGTGAGTCCTACTTAGTCAAACTACTGGTACATATTATGTGTGCTTTTTGGAGTATAACATAACGCTCAAGTTTCTGTGCTTCTTATGATGGGTTGCCATCAAATAGGTCTGAGAAGTACTGTTCTAGAACCTTCTAATACCCTTCATCCATCACCACGCTGTCTTGCCTGTGGCTAAGACTGCTGGCTTGATTATGTACTCAAATGGGCAGGACAGAACATGGAACGCTCATCAGAATACGTGCACTGTGACCTCTGCTGAACCCTGAAGTAGGAAGCCAGATGAATGCAAGTAGAAGAGACCAGATAGTTCACTGTTATCTACACCTTCATTTTTAGCTGATCAGATATCTAGAGGGAAAACCAAAAAACCTGAAGAGTTTCTTCTTGCCCGGAAAAATAAAAATGAAAACTAAACCACCACGGTCTTACTTACTTTGAGTGGTGAGCATCGTCTGGGTTATATGACTGAGACTAGGAACAGGTATAAGGCTTGAATTATTGGAAGCTGTGAGAGGGCTGTCCTGTCCCTGAGGCGAGGTCCTTGAGATCACAGTGGCAGCACTGGCTGCTAGGTGGCTGATGTGGGTGGTTGAGTTTTCTGCACTGGCCAGTGAAGGAGTAGATGCTATGGTCTTCAGAAAGGCCGAAGTTGTTGGTGGGATTCCTGAAGTGGTCACAATGTGTGTGGTAGCTGGGTCAACATTCCTGTTGCTTGTGGTCTCGGGCTTGGTGGTGGCGGCGGGGGTGGTGGGGTTGCTGGAGGTCCCATTCTGTGAGTTCCCGGTAGTTGAAGCACCTGTGCCACTCAAGTCAGAGGATGGAGACACAGTGTTTGTCTTGTTGAGCTCATTTTCCAAACCATTCCCATGGTCTGTAGCTGGTAAGTTTGAGAGCTCTTTTGGGGCACTCACGTCGGTGCTCATGGGAACTGGGGATGAGCTCGACTGGTTTGCAGATGCAGATGATGTCACGGGTTTCGTAGTAGGAGTCATTGAGGCAGCTGTGCTGCTGGAGTGGACCGTTGCTGACAAAGATGACAAAGGGCCAAGTTAGGATCTCAGGCGGAGTCTCTTGCCCAGTTTGTTCCCACTCCCATCCCTATTATCTGCCTTGCTGAAGGCCTGGGGCCCTTCTGAGCTGAATTTTTCCTGGAGTTCCAGACCCTCCTTGAAGGAGGCCAAGAAAGACACAGAAGAGGGAAGTTCCACAAAAAGAGAGGGCAAGGCCAGCTCAGCTGGCACACAGAGTCTGCAGGGGTCTCTGCATTCCCCCCTGACCCACACACAACCCTTTGAGTCTGTCCACAGCTCCCGGTCTCCATAGCACCCAGAACAAAATGCCACAGAGATGCTGGGGCTGCTGCCTGCTGAGGTGGCCAGGCCCTACTGCAGGACAAGCGGGTGCCTGGCAGCCCTTCCCAGGGAAGGTGTGATAAACTTGAGTCACACAAATGACAGTTTCAGTGTGACTGGGCTGTGCTACTGGAAGAAGGGTACAGAATCCCTGGGCTCTGTGCAGCATGGTGACATCCCCTTGGGGGAGAGGCCAGGGAAGAAAAGACTTTATTGGTTTAACCAGATATTTAGTGAGCACACCACTGCATGAGAAATCTCCTGCTGGACCCTGCAGATATAATGGTGAAAGACACAGAACAACTAAACAGGTTTCGGTGACTACAAGGAGAATGTGAACAAGGAACTGATGCAGAGGGCAGCGGAGGTGGAGGCAAGGAAAGGTGGCCCTGCAGCGACTGTTAAGCTAAGGCCTGAGGGAGACAAAGCAAATGCTGTAGCTGGGCAGACCACCCTCCGACAGAGGGACCAGCACCTTCAAAGGCCCCCAGATAGGGACAGGGGCCCCGAGAAGACACAAATGCCTGGAACATAGCTGGGAAGGGAAAGAGTGGCTCAGGAATACAGCTTCCCGGTAGGGTACCTCTGATTCAAACCAAACATTTTTGAGAGTAACAGAAGGGCTCTCTTAAAAATCACACAACACTCCGGTTCTGAAAAAAAAAAAAATCACACAACAGCAAAGCCTAGCGGTATGCTCCTGCAACCCCAGCACTTGGGCAGCTACAGCAGGGGAGCTGCAAGTTCAAACCCAGTCTGGGGAACTCAGTAATTTAGCAAGTTGGTAAGACACTGGCTCAAAATAAAAAATAAAAGCACAAGGGCTTTAGCTTACTATGAAGGCCTTGAGTTCGATCTCCAGTATCACAAAAAAAAAAAAAAAAAAGAAGAAGAAGAAGAAGAAGAAGAAGAAAAAAGAAAAAGAAAGAAAGACATATCGAAGCTGGGCTTAGTGGTGCATACCTGTGTTCTCAGCAAGGCTGAGGCGAGGAAACCACAGATTTAAGCCCAGCCTGGAAAATCAAACGAGTTCAAAGTCAGCCTGAACTACATAGCAAGAACCTGTCTCACAAAGACAAAAGACAAAACAAAAATGTATCTAGATAAAATGAAACATTAAGTTCAGAAGCTGAATAAGGATTTTAAACTTTGGCTGTAAACAGAAGTCATCAATGAAGCTCACGAGAGCAAGTTTTTAGGCTGAGAAACACAAGCTTGCTTGCTGCTTTGGGGTCCTGCAAGATCAGAGAGAGAGAACCCAAAGTAGGAAGGTGAGCTATGAGCTGTCTCATCAGAAGTCAAGGAGACAGGCCAAGCATGGCGGCGTGTGCCTGTAATCCCTGCACTTGGGAGACTGAGGAAGGAGGGCTGCTGCAAGTTTGAGGCCAGCCTGGACTACATACTGAGTGTACTTACTGAATCTAGGCCAGCACAGACTACTTAGCGAAACTGTGTCTCAAAAAACAAACAAACAAAAAAAGCCATGGAGATGGCCAGGCAAGGGCCACCTGTGGGCCGCTCTGAGTGCTGGGGATGAGTGGAGAAAGGAGTCAGGGCATCGCAGGCTTCCTTATGCAGCAAGTGGGGGGAAGAGAAAGTCTGGTGGTTTAATTCCTGGCTTTCCACCTGCAGCAGAAGAAAGGCCATTGTGAGACAGAGTGCGGCCACCCCCAACCACTCTCTGCAGCTGGCCATCTCGCTGGCATCTACACACTTCTGTCTGGGCAATCCTTCACCCCATGAGACTCAGGGCAGCAGAAAGTGCCCTTATTAGGGTCTGAATGTGCCAGCCTCCCCCACAGCGAGAAAGCTCTGTGCGCTGGCTACACTTGGTCCAGCTAAGGAGGAAGAGGCAGTGGGTAGTGAGAAGCACAGTGGCTGGGGACCCTGCTCAAGGCATCCAGAGCCACAGGCAGGCCCAGCAGTGCACAGCCCGCTGAAGGTCCCTCCCTGTGGTCTCTGCCTTGCCAGGGGACTCTGCAAACCAGGCAGCACCCCAATGCCTAACATGAAGATCTTATTGCTAAAAAGGAGAAATATATCAAGGAGTTATGATGGGTAGCAGGGTTTCCAGGATTAATTAGTGAGGAGGCCTCGCTGGGGCCAAAGGCAGTCAAATCTCTATGTAGTGGACAGGACTCCAGTATCTAGCTATGGTTTGCCAGGTGCCCCCTGTCCAATGCTTTGCCATTTGTTTGTTGTACAATATCAAGGAACTGAATCCAGGGCTTCACACTAAGATGTTCTTCCCCCAGCCCTTTATTTTATTTTATTTTATTTTATTAAAAAAAAAAAATCTCGTTGAGTTGCCAAAGCTGAGCTTGAACTCCTGATCTTCCTGCCTCAGCCCTCTAGAGCACTGGGGTTATGGTGTGCTGCCTACCCAGCTGGGCTTGCCCTTCTTGTAGGTCCTAAAGTAATGGTACTTCTTGTCATGAATAGTACCTGACAGGATGTACTAGATTGGTGAGGGAGATGACGTGTCAGCATGGCTGGGGCTCAGCGAATTCAAGGGATGAACAGTGGGATGGCTACTGTTCACTGTGTTGATGAGCTGTGTCACTGCCTGGGGCCACTCCACACTGGACCTACTGACAGTTTAGAGTCCATGTTTCTCTGTTATAGGAAGTCGCGCATTATAAGACATTGGGTCACATGCCTGGCCTCTGTCCACAATATGGATGGAAGTAGCACATACACATAATTTCTGCTGGCTGGGACAACTAAAACCATGTCCAGCTATTGGCCAAACAAAGCCCCCTGGGGAAGATGAACCACTACTCAATGAAAACTACTAGCTTACATAAAGAAAGAAGGTAACATCCAGGCATGATGGTACACACCTATAAACTCAGCTATTTGGGAGGTTGAAGCAGTATGAGCCTAGCTTGGGAAACTTTACAAGACCTCGAGCCAAAGTTTTTAAGAAACAAAAAGGGCTGAGGATGTCCCTCAGTGCTTAGTGTCCCTGGATTCAGTCCCGAGCAGCGTAGAAAGAAACCTCAAATCCCTAAATCCTCCTATCAAAGTATAGAATGAAAACCAATCTTTCTAAGACCGTACTAAGGGAATCTGCTTGCAGCTGAAGGGCTGGGAAAGCCAACAGCTGGATCCCACAACTGCCATATTACAGGGCTGAATTAACACACAACCTCACCATGCCACTTCTGTAGAACTGGGACCCTTGGAATCGGCCGGTGATTAGGAAGAAGGCGGATAAACGAGACTACACATAATCCCCAGCTCCAGTGGAATTCACTTCCTGTAGGCCCGACTGGCTGCTCTGTCTGATAAGGCTATGCCAGCCTTGCTGGAGACGCTCCAGAACTCCCGAGTCACGGGCACAGAAACGGAAGCGCCTCAGTATTCCTGCCCTTCTTCATTGTCTTCAGTCTGCACCCACGTTCCAGTTCCAGTATGTCCCGAGGACACAGATTTGCAGTCTGACCCAGGAAAATACTTGTATGCTAAAAATACTTACGAAGTATCTAGCAGATATGCCTAAGGGCATGAGGTCAGGGAAGGATCAGTTTCTATATCAGACTGAATTGGCCACTGTGGCATTTTATATTCCATGTGCAGTTTCACACAGCTAGGGACATTCTAGCTTTTTCTTGTTGGTTGACTATAGCCTGGACACAACGGTAACTTCTGCATTAAACAACTGAAACAACGCAACAGAGTTGAGGGTTGGGAGGAGCTTTTAAGAGGCAGGGGCTGAAGGGAGGTACCTGGCTCTTGAACACTCTCGTGAGGAAGGGACTGATGCTGGTCTGGTGGGGTTGGTTAGGTATCCCAGGACTAGTGACGTTCCGTGAGAGCAGGCCGTTGTCACAGAGAGGGCCTGAGATCTCCCTGTCCTCTTAATTCTGCTCATACCATGTAAGCTTTCTCCAACATGTGCTTCTGCCACATGCTACCTCCCACCCTGCCAAAAAGCCTTCACGGAGAACTAGCCCGTGGCTGTTTGGTCTTCCTAAGCATCATAAACATGAGCCAAATCAACTTCTCTTCTTTATAATGTAGCCAGCATCTGGTATTTTGTTGCACAACCAAAAATGCACTGGGACAGGAGCTGCCAAAAAGTTCCCTGAAATAATGTATAAAAAGAAATCCTAAGTACTAGAGCAAGAAAAACTTGAAATGCTTATCCTACATGATCTGCTCACTACACTCTAACTTTGTCCCCTGACACAGCTCAAATGTCACTCCCTTCATACAGCTTTCAAAAATACTGCATTTCATGAGTTCTAGGATACACATCTGTCACATCCCCGAAATGAGGATACATTCTAAATGACTACAGAGGGACAGTGGTTGGGGTTTTTTCCTAAGTGACTGATAAAAGCATAGCACATCGTGTAACTGATAGTGTCCTGGATGTGCTCATCTATGGGACATTACTGGAAGTGTAGGTCACACCATGAGCGAGCTCTGTGGTGCCTGTCCCTCACTGGCCACATGTGTTAGGAGGAAATACTGGTTTCATGTAGGGCAGGGGTGGAAGGCAAGATCAGAATTGACTTTCCAGGGAAAAGAAGTGTGTGCAAATCCACAATGGGCAGTCAGTCCAGCACCCTTATCAGAACAGTGCTCTTGGGTATTGTGAACAGTGGCTAAGAAGTCACATGTTCTTAAGCCTCCATCTATGGAGAGCTCACCAACTTCCTAG